CTTATAACTTTTTTGAATTTTCCTCGTTCCAGAATAATGATAATTATTGATACGATCCAGAACACTTGTAAAGGTTCCAGAAATATGAAAATTTGTCTATGTTTGAAGTTTTACAGAAGCTTCTATATTCGAGATCTTTAACTGTTTGCTTGTTTTAAAATTGACAAATTTGAGGAAGACGTTGAAAATTTTTCTCTGTGCCTCAATTTTTTTTTTCAATTTCAAGATTTCCTAATAAATTTCTATATCCAATCTTTCGCATCCCGAAATTCAACCAATTCGCGATCTGAATCTAAATTCAACTTATTCAACGGTTGGTTTAAAAAAAAAATCGTGACAGAAAAATGAATCCCAGGAACTATTCGTCAAGGTACAGTATCAGGGAATGCCGGAATTCCATGAAAATGCAGAACCCACATTTAGGTTGATTTTATCTTACGGAACACACCAGTGTATGAACTCATATAATTAGCATTGATGTAAGTCGCTTGACATTTAAAAAAAACTCTGAAATTTTTTTCCGGATCTCCGGAATAGTCATAGGAACTATCCTTCAAAGTACAGTATCGGGGAAGACCTATTCACCATGAAAATGCAGAACCCACATTTAGATGAACTTCCTCTCACTGAAATCAGTGGTATTTGATTTCAAGTGGCATTGAACTTGGTCCCTTGGCATTTCAATTACCTTGAAAAAAAATATCCAGCACTCAGGAATGGTCACAGGAAATATAACTTCAAGCTGCTATATCGGGGAAGGGAGGAACTTCATAAAAATAATGATCACTACTAAGTTGATTAACCTGTGTAGAAATAGCTGCAATTTAACCTTATGTATCATTGCAATTGGTGACATTTCAAAAATCTTGGAAAAATATTTGCGGATCCCAGGACTGGTCGTAGGAACTTTTCTTCAAGGTTCAGTATAGGGGAAGACCTATTCTCCATACAAATATAGATCACCACATTTAGGTAAATTTCCTCTTACTAAAATCACCAGTAATTGAAGTCAAATATCAATGAAGTTGGTCCCTTAGCCTTTCAAGAAACTTGTAAAAATATTTCCGGATCTCAGGAATGACCATAGGAACTATTTCATGGTTCAGTATAGGAGAAGGTCGGTTTTCCATGAAAATGTTGAACCCACATTTAGGATAATTTCCTCTTACTGAAAACAGTGGTGTGGGAACTCAAATACCATTGAATGGTCCCTTGCAGTGTTGGAAAAGTTCGCGATATTTCACGAAGTTCTCCAAGGGAAACGTTCGTGAGTCATAGTGATTTTTTGCGAACTTTTCCATCACTGGCCCCTTGATAACTCGGAAAAATATTTCAGGATCTCATGAATGACCTAAGGACCTATTATTCAAGGTACACTATCAGGGAAGGCTGGTTCACTGTTAAAAATGCTGAACCCACATGGAGGTTAATTTCCTCTCACTGAAATCATCGGCAGTTGAACATAAATATCAATGAAGATAGTCACTTGGCATTTCTAAAAACTCGGTCCGGTTTATGAAAATCGAAAATACGAACAACTTTTGCTCATATTCGGTTTTAGTACACGTCATTGCACTGTTTCTGTTCGTACACTACCAAGGATAAGTTCGCGAACACATAAATGAAAAATTAAATTCTACATCACCTAGCCTATCTGACCTTGATGTGGAAATGAAGGATAAAATTATATGATGAATAAATGTTGATGATAATCTTTGCAACTTTCTAGAATAATGTTGTAAAGTACCTTTTCGCTGATGTTAGATATGAGAGATACATGATAGTGAAACATGTAGGGAACCCCACATTTATGAACATTAGTGTACGCTAAGCTGACGACGTTCTTCGCGAAGCAAATAAATATTTCTTTCTTCTGAAAGTAGGAATGATCACTTCTAATCAGAATGATATGTATCGTAATCGTAAGTAATTGTGGCTTTTAATATCTGCCGGAAATTGACTGTTACACTATCTATATAAAGTTACCGCGGTTTGTCAAACAAACCAAAAACTATTACTATTACTATTAAGTCTATTACAGATAATACGTCAGTATAATTCGATAATCGCTAAACAACAATAATGTGACTTTCGGGAGGTAATGATAACCGATAGTTGCTAACCAGTTTCATTCCAACCTTATTTCAGGAGTCTTTTAGTGTAAAATTTATAAATTATAATCATGTCTCAAAATACAGGTTGCTCTGATTTTTTATATCAAAAATGTTCCTAGTGGATTAACTAAGCTATGCCCAACTCTGAACGAAGCATTACATTTTTACAACAGTTGATAAATGTTTTCACTTTATCAATAAATGTTACTGTAATTTGGAATAAAGCAATTTCCTATGTTGCAACTAACTTTCTGAATACATCATAGCAAGGTCTTGTCATTATCGGCTGTAGTATCGTAATTATTAATTGAATCAGCTCGGTGAGATCTACATCTTACAACAAATCACACCGTCAATAGGGACTCTATCCGCATCGCGGAGCTTTTTGAGGTATTGGCAATTATACCATATGACGTTTCGAATGTGATTCTTAGATACGGAAATCAATAATACCTGCTGTGTAGATTATATAGTCAATATCAAGGTGGGAGGATATTATGCTTATTGCTTATATTGCTTCCCAAACAATATTTATATGTTTACTCCAAACAAAGAAAACACTAGTAGCCTAGCTAGTTTCATGGACCTGCAGAGAAACTTTGTCATTCAGGGTGAAATGGAGGATGTAGGGAAAGGCATTTTATTTCTTGATGACCTTTTTCATTATCAACAACTTGAATTATTTTTTGCTAAACATACGACACCACTATTCGCATGCTTCAGTCAGCCGTCCGCAAAAATCATGTGAGCCGAAAGCTCCTCGCGCGCATTCGTGTTTAGTACAGTTTTTCTTTTCTTTCCCATGCCTTGTTCGCCATGTACTGGTATATCGGGAAAATAGTATGCATGAAATGAAAATGGAAAAACGATGCGAGGAAAGTCGGAAAATTGTACTTTGAAGTGAACCAAAAGATTCCTGACATTCCCACGAATCTTCTAGTATATAATTATCTGATACTTTAGAATAAAGATCACGAGCTATCAAAGGGGAAAGATAGAACATGGCGTCTACACCTATGCAATCACGTGGCCGGAATTGGGTGGTCTTCATGTCGGAAAAACAACCCACTTTTTTGTGGGTTGGATTTTCCCAAAAATTTTCCAACTATCATGTTGCCAGAAAGTTATGCTAGAACGTAGTGTGCTTCGATTTTTCGATTAGCTTATTTTTCTAGCTAATTTTTGCGGGTTTTCCCAGATGTTCTAAAAAATCCCAGCAAGGGAATAATATCAATAATACTTCCAGACGGGGGCCTTAATTATCCAATTAATAATGATTTTACGAAAACAAATTTATAAGATGCTTCAACCATTTGTTTTATTTAAAAAAAAAATCTTGTAAAATGCTCATGGTGGTTTGGGAATTTATAATATTTGTCAAAGCGAATCGCATTCAACGACAGATTGGATCCATATCTTTAATATCTTTCCGATCAATTAATGTCAGAATTAATGACAGATTCATAATTATTATTAGCTGGCCCATGATTGTGGGATGAGCGTAAAATGGATGTGTAATGGATCAAAACATTGTTAAGAATAAAGATCAATGGTTTATTTTATTACATTCGAGCCATTTTGTTGAATATACTTTCATCTTAACAATGTTTTCCTTGAAGTTTTGCTTTTGAAGATAATTTACCCATACAAATCATAAAGTACTTTCGTTTTTTACTGAATACTATAAACCTGGATTTTTTTTTTAGATTTGAACCGGGAAATCCGGGAAAATTACTGGAAATTTCATAATGAAATTCCGCTGGCCACCCTGGATACATTTTTAATAGCAGTTTAGTACAAGTTTAATACATTTCTTATTTTAATAAAAGATGGCGCTTCTTATTAAAAAAAAAACATTGCCGAAAATACAAGATTACTAAAATGACTCGTTTTGGAACTATTAATTTTGTAGATTGCTTCCTTTGTATCGATTGAACAGTCATTCTAACCTAAGTCCAAGTATCTCATCACCGATTCGTGATGTGCAACATTGAAACTTCAATGAAATAGAAAACAATATTGAATATTTTTCGACCTGTTATTGCACGTAAAAGAATTCGTTCGTTTCATCCACACTACAGAAATCTCACCTGTAATGCGCGCTGTAAATAATTCCTATGTTTATTTGCCACTTGCATCTCTCACGTCAGAGTCAGATACTGGACTTTATTTAACGGGTGGATGTTGTATGCTCACGCGGCGGTGACTTGTATAAACAATGATAAATAGCACGTCACTATCAGAACTTTTATTTATTTTTACTCATTCACCCTACCGCCGCAGTTGCGAATCCGACAGGCTACAACTGTTATCTTCTCTATATATTGTGAGCAGTGCGCGAATGCGTGCAAAATTTTCTGCACGCTATCACTCGTCAGGAGCACACAGCTCAGCATTTTTTTTTTTTTTTTTTGGAATCAGCTCTTCTCGTTCTCGCCTGGAAAAGTGGTCTAGTAGGAACTTGCAAATTCCATCGTTCAACTTAGCTGATTCCGCAATTTCCACATGTTGAGCACAACAAAAAAACACGAACGAAAATCGTTCTTTCAGTTGTGAAAATCTCCAAATGTAGTCATTGGTCGTAATCTGCTCGTGTCTGTGTCAGTTAGAGCTACCATCATTTGGTAACTGTCCTAGCTGATGCTCCCAAACGAAACTGGTAACTCCAACAGTCTCCGCATTCCATGTCAGGTGATGCGGTGGAAAATTTGTCGCTCGCAGAAATTCCTCAAGCCTGACGTAACCAACCCAACCAAAAATCGCTGCTATGCCGTCGCCGTACCGTGCTTCCACTTTCACTTCGTCTAGTATTAGGATTAGAACTTTACCTGTCAACTTACGGACGCTATACTAACCTGCACTCTTTCCATTTCTTCCGTTTTTCAGCTTCCAAGAAACAGAACGGTGCCACCCTGCGTTCCAATAGTCTCAATTCCGGCTCCCGGACGCCACCGCTGGAGCGGAAGAGCAAGTTCAGCGCCTTCGGACGCTTCTTCAAACCGTGGAAATGGCGGAGAAAAAAGAAAAGCGAAAAGTTCGAGTCCACCTCCAAGTGTAAGTACTGCCGTTTTCCGCCACCATCGCCAGTGGTGGCCATATTTCGTGCGTTGGCCCACCCACGACATGCACATCATCTATCTACAACCATGATAACATGTTTGGCTTGCAAATTGACTTTCTTGTTCGTTTTATGACTGTGTATTTTTTCTGCCATTTCCCAAGAGGGTTGAGGGATAGTAGTTTCGAGGATGCTTCATGGTTATCTGTTTTCGTTGTTAATGATGGTAATTCTACGGGCTAAATAGCAATCTCATTCGATTAACACGCAAAAGAAAAATGCTAGATTTTATTGCAAATACTTTTCGTAATGGAGCGTAGTGTGGAGGGAAAATTGAAGAATGGCTATGGGCAAATTTGCAATAAATTGATTGGTCTCTTAATGGTTTTAAGCTGTGGCAATTAAACTGACGAACTGGAATTTTTTTTGTTCATCTTCTCTGATTTTTTTTTCGAAATTCACATACTCTGAAAAATCATAACTTATGTAGAACTTCAGATGTGAACTCCAGAATATTTTAAATAGATGATTCAAAATATTTTACGCGGTACAGATCTCTCATGAAATGATATATGATTTTTTTTAAACTATAAATTTATCAGAACTTCTGAGGTTAACCCGTAAAGTACCAGGACGAGATTTTTTTTGAATACTCGTTCTCAGCAATGTAACAACCGATTTTCATAAACCTGGACTTTTATTAAAGGGGAATAGTGGATCTAACTTAAGGTTACGCCCTGCTAGACCCCTCCCCGCTTTTGAGAGTTGCAAATATGTCTGTGTTTTTTTCAGTTTTTCCCACTAGTATGACCAAATGCTATTTGTTGTTTGCAGTCACTGGTAGCGAGTTACTTTTTAGTGACTTGGTCACTTTTTTCAAGCAAGTCACTAAAAAGTCTCCTTTTTTAAGGCCAAGTCACAAAAGTCACTTTTTCTTTTAATCAGTTACCATTTTAAACTTTTTTTTTTAACGTGAATTTACTTCAAGTTTGATCATTTTTATTGCAATGTGTAGAAAAGGTCTACATTTTGTTCTAATTTTTGAACAATTCTAAGTTGACGACCTTGTATAGAGTTTTTTTTATGTTTAATCGTCTTTCTCTACAGGGTGTCCACTAGACTGATGCAAAATTTGAAATTTTTGCTCCACAGTGCTCAAACGGTTTCAAAACGGTCCTGATTAGCCTCCCAAAATTTAAACTCATTTGGTAAAAAATGCACAAACTATTCGAAGTTTATATGGAAATTACTATGGGAAAACCAAAATTTTTGTTCATTGTCTTATACCCATTTTCCAAATTGCTTTTTTGAAAAGTTCTATAACTATTCTTTCAGAAAATATCGTTTTTCAGTCAAATGTCAAATTAAATAGTTATTAATTGTTTAAGAGATTCATAATCTTATGGCATGATCAAGCAGCTGTTCTGTGAGCAACACTGTATTCTGCAGTGTGACATAGTAGCCATGATATTTGTGCTCTATTCTTCGCACCAGAAACACCAATGTTGCCTGCTGAACAGTTGAATGAGCATAATCATAAGACATCAGTGACTTGAATCATTAACAACTTTTGTTCCTTACATTTGACTGAAAAGTGGTTTTCAACAAAGATGTAGCTGAGAAAATTTGCTACAATTACTGCTATCATTTTCAAAAGCATAATGATGTGGTGAATTGTTAGACAGATATCAACAAAAACATAAGTTTTCCCATAGTAATTCCCATATAAACTTGAAATGGTTTGTGCCAAGTCAGTTTCTTAATAAAGTAGTTCAAATTTTGGGAGGTTAATCAGGACCCAAATTTGGAACCGTTTGAGCACTGTGGAGCGAAAATTTCAAATTTTGCATCAGTCTAGTGACCACTCAATTGGCTAAATAAAGTTCCCTGAGTTTTCCAGGTTTTTCCATAACTTTGGCGGATAATTTCAAGGTTTCTAATAAGAAAGTTATTTATGAAATTCTTTAAAAATATGATTTTTTTTTTTGTAAAACAACAACAACAACAATTAACGCAAACATTTTTAAGACATGACAATTAGTTTTAAAGAAACAGCTTTACTTCATTTTAGTAAGTCTAAGATCACAACATTTTTAATGTCTTGAAGTTTTGTACTAACAAAATTGTGGAAACTTTTAAGAAGTTCTATTTACTTCAGAAAAAAACTAGATCTAGGGATCATGGGGAATTCCAGAGTTCTTAAGCGATAAGCGTGAGTTTTGACAAATTCAGGATAATTCCAAGATGTGCTGAAATAAAATCGAGAACACTTAAGATGTTCCAAGAGATTCAGTACAGAGACCTTCAGAAAATTTGTGAAAACTTCAGAAATATTTCAGAAACTTCACATAAATCCAGAGAATTCCAGGGAAGTTTAAAGGTGTTCACGAGAATTTCATTTATTTTAAAGCCGAACCGGGATCTTCATTAGAATTGAGAGCTTTCGGGAAGCTACGAGAACATCAAGGCAGGTCATAGAATTAAAGGGCAGTTAAAAAATTTCAAGGGAATAGCAGAAATCTTAGAGAAGTTTCAAGAAAATCTCCGGGAATGTCCGGAAACTTCGGTTTGCTCAGAGAAAATTTCTGGAACGCAATAAAAATTATATGAACATCCGTAAAACGTGAGAGTATTTCAAGGGTGTTATATCATGGATATTTAAAGATCTAAAAAATTTCGAAACTTAGCTAAGTTGATTAGAGAACATCAATGAAGATCCATTAATTAACAAAAAAATGCGAGAACTTTTAGCAAGCACCGATATTTTCAAGAAATTCCAGAGAACTTCTAAAAACTTTAGATATTTTAAGATTGTTTCGTTGTATTCAGTGCAGTTCCGAGTACTTCAAGGACGATCAGATAACATCACAAAAATCCCATTAAGAGGCTGTTCATAAACTACGTAGACATTTTTTTGGGATTCTTGACCTTGATTTTTTTTTGGATTCTTGATTTTTAAAATTTGTATGGTCCGTGGATAATTGTCAACCCCCCCCCCCCTAAACTGTCTACGTAGTTTATGAACAGCCCCTAACTTAAGGAAATTTGCAGCGACTGACAAGGAGTTCCTTGGAATTATGAGAAAACTTGAGAAGATTCAGGGAATTATAAATATATAAATCAGAAAATTTACCAGAACATTTGATAAATTTGAGTGTTCACTCGGCTGTCGACAAAAGCAGGCCTCTCTTGATGTGTGCTACGCGATCGTCTGTTTTCTCGGCAGCAACCATTGTGCTGTCCTCCTCATTGTTCTTCATCAGCAGTTCTTTCAGTCGATGCGTCGTCGACTTTGGAAAGCAACCGTTTCGTGATGAATGTGTGAGTGCTGACCACGATTTGCGTCCATTGCTGCAATGGAAGCGCTCTGACCCCCGTTGGCGAATCTGCCATACAATGAAACCACTGGAAGCGGCTCCAGTTCTGATGGAGGAGGCTTTTTGGATAGCGGAAGATAAAGGGTTTATTGTGTTGTACCTTTTGACTATAGTTTTAAGATGTATTGTATAGTGACCAAGAATCCTCGGCTCTGTAAAGTTAATTCGGTTGAGCCTTATCAAATAAATTAATAAAAAAAAAAAAAAATTGATAAATTTAGAGAAATTAAGGTAAGCACAGAAAACTTCAGAGCTGGACTTTCCAGGGAAAATTAGTGATTTATGGCAAAATTCAGTGAGCGTTTATAAACTTTATAAAACTTAAGGAAAATTGTAGAACTCAACTCAAAGGCAATTAAATCAATTTCAGTAAAAATGTGGGTTCTTTAAAAAACCCTAAGATCTTAAGGACAGTCTAGAGATGTTTAAGGAAATTGAGAAATATTTTGGGCAGTTTTAAAAACATCAAGAAACTCTAGACTATTGAAGAAGTTATGAATTTGTTTCGAAAATTGACAAATCTTGAGAACTTCAGTGAAAATCATAGAACTATATTAATTGTTTCATTGCGGGAGCTTAAAAAAGTTCCTGAAATTTCAGAATAACTTCGAAATCTTCAAAGAAATACAGAGATCTTCAGAAACATTTCGAGATCTTCATAAAAGTCTATGGAACTTAAGGGAAGATCCGAGAACTTCAGAAACTCATATGGACATTTCGGGAGCATTTCAAATAAGTTTAGTAAACCTTCAAAAACAAGGGGAATTTCAGGGGAGTTCAGTTCCATTAGTTGCACTAAATTAGCGAAAAATTACATGAAGTTACCAAATTTTCAGAGAATTTTAGAGATGTTAAGAAAACTATTGAGGTTTTCACATAGGTCGAGAAGTTCACGGAGGCTTAAAATTTGTTTGAATTAATCTCAATCAAATTCAGGGTAGTACAACAAGCTTCATGAAAACTGCAAACACTTTAGAGAAGTTTCGAGAACTTCAAGAAAGATATTGATCTCACTAAAAAGCTAAAGAAACAAACTTCAGGAAAGAACAGATATCCTCAGAGCAGAGATATTTCAGAGCAGCGAAATTACATAAATTTTCAAGAAGTTCAGAGAAATTCGGTGAATTGTTTAAACTTTAGAGAAGATTCTTGATCGTTAGTAAAATTGTGGAAACTTTAGGAAGTCCGAAAAAGTCTAGAGAAGTTAAAACAATTATGAGAAGCATTGTGATAATCAGGCTAGTTTTTCAAACTGCAAAAGAACTTCAAGGCAGTTTCATTAATTTCAGGAATATTTTGGGAACTTTCAAGTTGTTCTGAAGACCTCAGAATAGTTCATTACATATTCAATGGAGATTTCGCATGAAAATTCGCTTGGAGTTCTCCTCATCATTCGCTCGTATTCTTCCGAAACTCTCATGGAATTATTTCAGAAATTTACTTGGCACGCTTGTCTGAATTCTCTAAAAAATATCATAAGAATATAGTTAGAATACTTCTCGCAACTATCCTCTGAATTAGATTTTCTTTTAATTTTTCTAGGAATTAAAATTCTTCTCAGTACGAAATCCTATTTTTTCAACATGTACTTCATTTATAAAAGCTGTGCTTTAAAATATGAGCTAAATTGAGCTGCAAACATCATAATGTAGAGTGGTAAGCGTGATTGTCTCTCACCCCAAGGGGCTGGTTTCAATCCCAATCGGCGCCGCCGGAATTTTCTGAGCCACAAAATCTCTGATCATGCCTTGCTTCAGAAAGAAAGTAAATCCATTAGTCCCCGGTCCATGAGTTGATGGGTCGATAGGTAGGGTCCAGGTTTGGGAGCTGCCTTCCTGGCGTCGGTAGCATTGGTACTCAGAACGAAAAACAAGATCGACGGAAAACAAATCAAGGAAAAATAAAACCTACACGAAGATGAAAAACTACCCAAAATGAAGTACTTTTCCCTCAATTCCGGAGTTCAGGCCAATAACCCAAATTTGAGTAAATCGCATATAGTAGTTTCCATTTAACACCAGCAACAAAATTACCTACTCTTAAGTACCTTCTACCTAAAATTAAGCTTAATTCACATAAATTTGAGAATATGCAATTTACTCAAAAGTAACTTATTGGGCTGAACTATATCGTTGGGTCGAATCTCTCGTTTCCTGTTTTGACAACAATAACGAGTGCAAGTGAGAGGCTGAAGTTAATATTAAGTAAAAAGAACTCAAATTTGGGTTGTATTTTTTCTCCGTGTAGGTTTTGATATGATTTGTCATTTTAACACCATTCTAGTTCAGGCCGCTTGGGTTTGTATGTATTTGTTTGTGTGTGTGTGTGTGTGTGTGTGTGTTTGTGTTATCTTGGATTTTTTGTATGTTTTGGTGTATTATCTTAACGATGTTTGTGGGTCATTATGCGTGTTGTACGCTTTTTGGTGTTTTAGTATTTTGAAGGTAATTTTGGCTTGGTAATATGCATTTTTAATATTAATGGATCGTGGAAGTGCGTCGTAATCGAAGAAAGTCTGAAAACCGCTGTCTGGATGTTGCCTGAATCATTTTTAAGTATCCCTGAATTACTCTGGTGTTATGCGAGTTTCCCTTAGCCTCACCAAACTTCTTTGCAGATTTTTATTTTGTTTTTCTAGAGTTCACTTGAGCCACTGTAAAGGTTCTTATGAATTTCTTTGGGGTTTCTTAGACTTCTTTAATGTTAATTGAACTTTTCCGAACTTCATTAGAACTTCAGTTGTTAAGTTTGGAGATCTTTTGAGCAATTGAAAGGATCGAAAAATGTTTTCCTGAGATTTTCAAGAGACTTTGTAGGGGATCAAAGAGCATCAAAAGTGTTCAGAGAACTCTGGACGAGTTCGAGGTATACAAGGGGTGCTAATGGAACTTCAGACAAGCTGTTCTGAGCTAGCCCATCATTTAGAAAACGACTCAAAGTTACTTACAAGTAAACAACAACGATTTAAAATAAACCACGAAGCATATCTTGAAACCTAGTTTAGTTCAGTATAGTTAATTCAAAACCCATTTATCAGGTTGTTGGCTGTAAAGTTTCATAAAGATCACTATTTGTATATACCTTCGTTTTGCTATAGATTCGTTCATCTTCGATCATTCATCTTTCACTTTCTCCCATTTGTCACAATTGCAGCTTTAGAACGTAAAATATCAGTACGTGCCAATCGCGAAGAACTTGTACAAAAAGGCATTCTGCTGCCCGAGAGTCCAACGTCGGCGCTGTCCATAGCTGGTGAGTATCAATTTTCTCATTATTTTTTTTATTTAATCCTAGATCAACCTACTCTGTCAAAAATCGGGCTACCTAATTGCGGGTCAGTAAGATCTTTATCCACCGCACTTACCAACAGCTAATCATAAATTTCGCTCCACAATAAAGGTGCTTCTCTTCCCACTTCCCCATGATAGTTAGCTAGCATATCAACAGTGACTTGAAACTAAAACCCTTTTTTCAAAATTTTTATCTCATCTCCCGTTTTTCTCCCCATCCATGCACATTTCGGCCGCATACGAAATTATTAACGCTAACTGTACAAATCAAATCCAAACCAACAACAACAACAACAAATAAAAAAAAAACCTGAAGCCATTTGTATCAGTCCCACGGATTCGGTGACGTGGTCAACATCATCCCATAGACAGCTACAAACCTTCCATCAGCCGAACCACTATCGAAGCCAAAGTAAGTCTCGTTTGGGATTTGTAGCTGAAAAGCTCACCAAATAATAACACACATTCCTCGCTGTGTTTCTCTTCTCCTTCTTCTTATTCTTCTTCTTTGCCCTTCTGCTTCCCGTGCACACATACTCACATACACACACTCGCATACTTCACCTGTAAATAGCTATAAATTAGAGAGAGGTTCACTTTTCGAAGTGCTTCTTCGAGCCGGCGAGAGTTGTTGGGCTTTCACGCGTGTTATTTGTTTATATGTTCTGTGTGTTGTTATTTTTTTTCCTTCTGTTGTTTTCCACTCTTTTCTCCTTGTCTACTACAAGTGTTTTTTTCTTGCTGTTGTTTTGGTTACTCACCTCTTTCCATCGCACTTGCTTACTCCTTTTCTGTGGTATATCGAAAACAAACGACATGCAGCCACTATACCTACATATATCGTGATAAGGGCATGCGTAAGCCCAGGCTTATTGCTTTAGTCTATTAATATAAGTAGTGGGTGTTTTGCAGGTGTGTGTATGCGTAAAGTTGTTTTCCCTTTTTATCGTACTAAACACCCAAGTTAAATAGTAACACCATATTTATGCGGGCCTGTTGCCATAACAAATGTGATAACAAAAGCTTCAGTTCGCTTGTACACACGTATCAAGAGTAGGTTGAATCATGCCGCCCACCATTCATATTGAAATCATTCGATAGTTTTTGCCACCACCACCGGTTCTGCTTTGTACAACTATCAGCCTCCGTTCCAAGAACTTGGTAAGACGACCCACTAGCGAACGTCGTGTTTGCCTGTTCTTGCCGAAAGACATTGCTAATCATTCGGTATTCGAGACGTGATGAATTCCCCTTTTGCTTTAAGCAACTGTGAGGTCGTAGAAGCTTCGATTACTTTCGCATGGCATCACCGTTCGCGGTGGGAGTTTAGTGCATATTTATACAGGTGTGGTTCGGAGATGATCAGAATTTGGAATAACATTTACTTCTCTCAGCAAACAAGAGGTGATTTTTGCAAAGTCCTCATCTATAAAAGTCGTCATCGTTAAGGAACCAGAAATGATTTTGTGGTGGATACTGGGTTACAGTTAAGACTGAAAGTGAATAATTTTATTGATTTTGATTCCAGATGCTTTGCTTTTCTACTTGTGGAAAGAGCGATGTTTCCTCAATTGTCAGAATCCCTCAAATAATTACAGTCCAGCGCTGGTAGCGAGTCACTTTTTTCAAGCCCGTCACTAAAGTCACTTAGTGAGAGTGAATTTATTTCAAGATTGATCATTCTTTTTGCAGTGTGTAGGTTCTGATAGTCCAATCGATACTTACATGTTGTTTAAATTTTCGAACAATTCGAAAGTGTTGTGCTTCTATAGAACTTTGTCTGTTTACAGAGTGTCTACTCGTTTGGCTAAATAAAAATCCCTGGGTTTTCCAAGTTTTTCCAGAACTTTTACGGATAATTCCAGATTTATAATAATAAAACTATGTTTTAAATGCGTTTAAAATATGCTTTCTTTTTGGTAAAACAGCAACATCAATTATTGCAAACGGTTTTAAGACATGACAATCAGTTTTAAATAAACAGCTTTTGATTGTTAATCCATTTAATGTTGAAGTTTCACATTTATTTAATTTAGGTAAGTCTAAGATCTCAAAATATTCAATGTCTTGAAGTTTCTTATGAATGTGTACTCAAGATATTAAACATTTTCAAAGTGCCAGAATTAAGGAAAAGAAATTAAATGATTTATTTCAATTACCAACTTTATGAAAGAAGATAGAAATTTTCCGTGAAGTCCCATTAACTTCCCAACAATTCCAGGAACCTTTCTGAAGTTCTGAGGAATTAAAGAGAAAGCTGAGAATTTCAGTTGAGCTTCATAAACAAACTGCGGGAACATAAGGGAAGTCAACTTCCTAAAAATAAGAGGAACTTACTGGTGGAAGCTTCTTTTAGCTTCAGCTTCCTAAAAACTGCAGGAACCTCTATTAAGTTCCTAGAATTTCAGGGAACTTCATCCAGTGTCAAGAGAACTTCAGAGATGTATAGAACTTCAGGACAATTAAGGAAACTTTTAAGAAGTTCTTTGTACCTTAGAAATGCAGAAAACAGCTTAAAGATCTATAAGCGTGAGTTTATAAAAAAAACAGGATAGTTCCATGATGTGCTGAAAAAAAATCGAAAACCCTTACGATATTCTGTATATTTCAGGGAAGGTAGGGGAAATGAATGTAATGTCGGCCTAAATGTCCCCAATTTGGGCCCATACATATATTCAAAAATCGACTAAATTTTCAATAGCGACCAAAAATATCCATTAGTAGGGAAGAGCGCTACTTCGTCGTAATCGCTCATTTCCGTTCTATCGAGCAGAAATCATCAATAAGATCACTGATTTTACCGTGCACAAATCAATAATTCGTTTGTTCCGATCCGTTAGTTCATAAGCCACAACATGAAGCCTATTATAGCGCACTGTATGAATATTTCCACTCATTGTTCTCAAAACAAAAGAAGCGCTCCTAGCGAATCCCCTTTTTCTACGTTTATCAGTAGGACGAATAAAATCTAATGACGTTTCAATGCGTTAGGACGGAATTGAAACTCGTAGGACGAATTTAGAATCAAGAAGCAGTGTTAGATTTTTAATAATATCTCAACATTGTTTGAATCTTTATAAAATTATTTTTGATGAAAACATTCCATGTTTTGTTCAAACCCTTTTAAAAAAGAGAGGTAAAGTGCGAGATGTGCTTAGTAGGACGGAAATTAGATCAAAAACCCTACCATCCCAATGACGCATTCATCTAGAAAAAATTGATAAAAAGCAGATTTTTAGCGATGGGCCCAATCTTAGATCCATAAGCCAACATTAGAAGCCATTTCCTCTACATATACTTTCATAGAATTTATGAAAACGTCAGAAATATTTCAGGAACTTCACAGAAGTCCAAAGAGTTTCAGGGAAGTTTAAAGGTGCTTACGAAAATTCCATTTATTCCAGAGCAGATCTTCAATAGTATTGAGAGCTTCAGGGAACCTCTGAGAACATCAAGACATATCAGAGAATCAAAAGGCAGTTCATTAAATTTCAAGAAAATTGGAGGAACCTTTAAGAAGTTTCGGGAAGCTCAAGGAATTTCCGGAAAATTTAACAATGCTCCGAGACAATTTCTCGAACGCAATAAAAATTATATGAACATCCGAAAAATGTGAGAGTATTTTTTAAGGGTGTTATATTATGGACATTTCAAGAACATTAAACAATGTAGAACATTTAGCTAAGTTGATTGGAGAACATCAACGAAGTTCCATTAATGAAAAAATGCGAAAACTTATAGCAATCACCGATATCGTCAAGAAATTTCAAAGAACTTTTAAGAAATTTAGATAGAAAAGTTCTGAGTACTTCGAGGACGATAACTTTATAAAATTTCCATTAATTTTAGCAAATTTGCAGCGACTTACAATTAGTTCCGTAGAATTATGAGATATTTCTAGAGTTCAATGGTTGACTCGTAAACCTCAGAAATGTCAGGGTATTATGAATATATATATCTGAAATTTTTCTGGAAGATTAAACAAGTTTAGAAAACTTCTGGTAAGCATAGAAAACTTCAGGGATGTCCAGATAAGTTCAGGGAAAATGAGTGTTAAGGCAAAGTACCGTGAGCAAAAATCAATTACTCTTAGTTAAATTGTGGGTTCTTATAAACAATATTGAGAAATTCATAGCAGTCAAGAGAACTTTAAGGAAAATCAGAAATATTTTGGGCAGTCTTAATAATATCAAGAAAGTCTAGACTATTGAAGGAGTTAAGAATTAGTGTACATAGTTTAAGGGCAGTTCCAGCTCAGAAAAATCTTTTAACACTTCTGAGAAATCTTTTAACTCTGAACTCAAACTTACCTGAAGCTTCTATGGAACTCTTTCATTATTATTATTATTTGTTTATTTGGTTCTACATGAACAGACTGGGTTTAGTCCTAATGATGGATTAAGCAATACTAAGAAATACAATATAGTCAAGAAGTAACAAGCTGTAAAGGCCGTTAAGTCCAACTTAATTCCTAATTCTTAAAAATATATCACGGAATCTCTGACGCAGCGTCTCGCGTGCCAAGTGAAAATCAAATAAGGAAGCAACGTGATTGAAAACCCTTTGTAGCCCATTGACCATACGAACTATAGTTTGTACGACGAAAAGGTATCCTCAGCTTTGCGTTGTTACGGAGTGCTCGTGGTTGAACGTTAACGTCGATTTGTTGTAGAATAGAATGACAATCGCTTCTGATCTGTAGAATGTCTGCCACAAACAGGGCCCTTGTCGAATCTCTTCGACTCCACAAAGGATCTAGGTGAATTAACAGGCACCGACTTTCGTAGCTTGGAAGGCGATGAGGATCCCTCCAAGGCAATCGTCTAAGGGCAAACCACATGAATCGTCGTTGAATAGACTCTATTCTTTGTACACTGTTTTGGTAATTGGGATGTCATACAGGGCAGTAGTATTCTAACACCGACCGGACGAGGGAGCAGTAAAGCGACTTCAAACAGTAGATGTCTGTGAAACTTTTATTATCGTTATTGTTGTCAAAAAAGGAACGAGAGGTTCGACCCAACGATATAGTTCAGCCCAATAAGTTACTTTTGAGTAAATTGCATATTCTCAAATTTACGTGAATTAAACTTAATTGGATAGAATATACTAAGTACTACTAGGTAGAGTAAGTATTTTTTTTTGCTGGTGCTAAATGGAAACTACTATATGCGATTTACTCAAATTTAGGTTTTTGGGCTGAACCCGGGAATTCAGGGAAAAAATACTTAATTTTGGGTAGTTATCCGTGTACACTTTTAGCTATACGAATTCTAGAGTCCTTTTTGATTGGGTCGTATGTAACATTCTTGTCAATCAGAGAGATGGGGTGTTTTGTTTTGGTGAACAAAAAATTGTTTCTATTTTCAATGAGATGAATAATACTTTCATAATTCCCATTAATTAACATCTCAGGAGTGTTGCTATCAACTGAGTAAGGTATTGATAACGTTCCTGTTGAAAAACAAACGTTTTTTAACCAATCAATATTATACGACCTTTTGCATGCCGTGTTTTTACATTCGACCGTGCGCTTTTTAGCGGTTAAAAAAAATGTATTATGTAATTACTCACGAAAAGCGTAGTTATCATTTTATAGACCACCCACAACCGTTTTAGATTGAATATTTGCTAAATTTGCAAACAACAGGTATTCTGTACAGCTTTTACGCTTCTGTCAACTGTGTTACATACGACGATTGACACCCCATAGAAGTTAGGTGTCGTATGTAACATTGAGCTATGTTTTGGTCAGTTGACACACAAATAGTTTTTTGATGAGAAAATGAAACAGAAATGAGGTAGCGGGCCCAAATTTTGCCTTTAGAAAGAGTAATCAGAGTAGCGTCTAGTAGCATTAAAATGTCAATTTGTTTACGTTTGTTACATACAACCCACTCAAAAAGGACCCTTGAATTAGTAAAAGTGACTCGCTCTCTGAGTAAGTTAACTTTAAATTTTCTTTCGCTTTGAAATATTTTTAGATCACATTCAACTGTGCGGACATCAACCATCATTCATCTCATAATCGACATGGTTAATGAGAGTAACTCAGTGACCGAATCGGTTTTACTCAGTTGTATATAGAAACGCCTTAAAATCACACAGCCGCAGAATCTAACACAAATTGCGGGCTCCGTTTACTCACTTTCGCTAAAGCTACGCACTGAAAACTAATCTCCTCAGAGAGTGAATCACTTCTACTCATTCGTGTGAAGATATTTCTTAAAGCGTAGGCTATTCATGCTTCTGTGTGACATACGCTTTTATACATTTCTCCATACGAAGAGTAAAAGTGACTCACAACTGAGTAAAATTGACTCACTCTCTGAGCTAGTTTCGTTTTCAGTCAGATTACTCACGTGCACGGCCGTGGAACCGAACTCATATAGAGGTTCCGTTTACTCAAATTTGCCAAAAAACGTACACAGCTGATTAAACCTCCTAAAATTTGAGTTTCGTTCACTCAAATTCGTTAAAACATAGGTTACTAACATACTGAGTAACATTATTCTTAATTTTCCAGGAAAAACTATTCGAATATCGAGAGAGTTTTCACGAAGTCTGAGTAAAATTTTCATCGATTTTTCTCATATTCGAGCAGTTTTTTGAGGAAAAGCGAGCACAATTTTACTGAGTCTATGAGCAACAGGTTTTTGCGATTTTGAGTGATAAATCATTTAATTTAAAGGTCGGTTATTCAGTCTATTAGTGATCACGTAGATCGAATTTTAGTACACGGAACCAATATATGAGTTAGATTCAACGGTCGTGTAGATAGAGTAAAAATCTGCTTGAATTTGAAAAAAAAAATACACAGCTGAGAGTAAGTCAGTAACTGAGTCGAATTCAACTCAAAATTTCCAGGAAAAAACTGCTTGAATATGAGGAAAATCCACCGAAATCTTACTCAATCTAGGAGTATACGGATAGACGAGTGAAATATCTCTCAATTTACTTCATATTCACAAAGTTTTTCCTGGAAAATCGGGGAAAATTTTACTTGTTCACTGAGTAACGTCGCTTTTTGCTATTTTCAGTCAAATTCGACCTAATTTTGAGTTATTATCATTGGCCGAGTATACCTCCCTCATATTTGAGCAAAATTTAGTCAAACAAAAATTTTGTTTCTCAGTCTATGAGTAACCATGGATTTAGAGCAGTTCCAGGCCAAATAGGATAAACAAATATAAATTTTGACTCGATCACCTCCGAATTGCATGAAACTTTGCAGAATTCTATGTTATGGGCAATCATTCACATTTTTTTAAAAATTCGGCCATTTTGGATCTTATATTTTATTTTTCAAAATGGTGTCTTTTACATTTTGTAATAAGTTGTAGCACAATAACGTCACTGCTGTTCGAAATGACGTGGACAGTGTTAAAGATGCCATTTTGAATTAAAATACAGCATCAAAAATGGCAAAATTTTCGTAAAAATGTTTATGATTGCCTATAACGCTATAACACACAAGTATGCTTTTTTTTTTGCATATCTGATATGGTCTAGTTTTTTTCAATTCGTAATTTTCGTAGAACTGCTCTTTAGTGAGTGTGAGTAAACGGAACTCACAATTTGTGTTAAACTCAATGGCCATGTATACTACTGAGTAATGGTTACTCTCTCACTGAGTTAGCCTCAGCGGCCGTGTATTTGTCCATCTACAATGTAACACCTCTAACACTTGCACTTCACACGGCCGATGAGAGTACAATGGAAACGAAACTAACTCAGAGAGTGAGTCACTTTTACTCAGTTATGAGTAACTGAGAAATTTATAAAAGCGTACACGGCGATTTTTTTTTAAAGCTTTATTAAAGAGATACACGGCGAATGAGAACACCCCAAATTTGAGTTTAGTTCACTCATAATCGCCAAAAGTGCAGGAACTCAGCGGTGAGTAAATTTGCCTCATGTTTTCCCAGGTTTTCCCAGGATTTTCCAGGGAAAAATTCCGAATTTGAGAAAAGTAAAGATTGGATTCACTCAGTCTATTGGTAGACAAATTTTACTCATCGCTGAGTTCCTGCACTTTTGGCGATTATGAGTTAACTAAACTCAAAATTGGGTTGTTCTCATGCGCCGTGTAGGTCACACCGAGCCTCCGCTTTTAGAAATTGCTCCATACGAATGAGTTAAAGTGACTCACTCTCTGAGTAAGATATTTTTTTTTGCAGTAACTAAGTCGAATTCATCTCAAATTGGTGAAAAGTAAGGTTACTCAGTGGGTGAGTAACATTTTCCCACTTTTCCGAGAAAAACTGCTTCAATATGAAGAAATTGCACACGGCCAATGAGAACAAACAAAATTTCAGTTTAATTTACTCATAATCGTCAAAAAGGCAGGAACTCAGCGATGACTAAATTTGTCTCATGTTTTCCTGTGGAAAACTTCAAAAATCTGCTGGAAAATGAGGATAATTGACGAAAATTAAACAATCAAATTTGGGTCGTTATCATTGGCAGTACACGGAGTTTAACTCAAAATTGAATTCAATTTAACTCAAATTGCAAAAAGTTGAGTACTCAGTGAATGAGTAAAATGTTCATAGATTTTCCAGGGAAAACTTTTTAATATGAAGAAAATTGATATATTTTTCACTCAGTCTATTAGTATACTCCTAGAATAAGTGAAATTTTGGTCGGTTTACCCCAAAAACAGGTTATCTACCATATATTTCCACTTAATAATTTTTTTGTATTCATGACAGATACGTTTTTCGACTACAATGTGCAGTGTCACATTTAAGCAGTTTTTCCTGGAAAAGTGAGGAATATTTTACTCACTCACTGAGTAACTTCACATTGTGTAATTTTGAGTTCAATCCGACACAGTTACTGAGTTATTTTCATCTGCCGTGCAGTCGAGGAAAATACTATGAAATTTTTTACGATTTTCCTCATTCCAGAAGGTTTTCCTGGAAAAACTAGGAAAATTTTACTCATTTTCTGAGGAACCCCACTTTTTGTAGTTAGTTGAATTTGATTCAATTTAGTGGTACTCTCATTGGCCGTGCATTTTCTGACTAGCATGGATCACATATCACTGACACCATACACCTTCCTCTAGTCGTCACCAGGTGGTAGTGTAGATTCACTTTTAGATGATGTTACCGCACGTTATGTGTTACTTAGATGATTGATTACAGGTATCACTGAAAAGGAAACTTAATCAGAAAGTTAGTTACTTTTACTCATTCGTATGGACGAATTTATGAAAGCGTAGTTTACTCATGTGCTGAGTGGCCTACGTTTTTATAGATGTTTCCATAAGAATGAGTACAAGTGACTCACTCTCTGAGCTAGTCTCGTTTTTAGATGGACGAAACGCTCCTTAAGCCCCGAAAAAAAAAATGCGCTTTTACTGAGGCGCGGAGCAACGGCCAAGCGTCTCGAATGAACTTCCAAACGAAATTTCTTTTAGAATCTGCTTCTGGAAACCTTAGAAGCTTCTTTTAAGATGTTCTTCAGAAGCTTCCTTTGAAATATTCCTTCAGAATCTTCCTAAGAAGCTTCGTTTAGAAGTTGTTTCTTTAGCTTCATCTTTTAGTAGCTTATTATAGAGACGTGCCCGTCGCTCCGCTCCTCCAACTAAAAAACACGGATAAAAGAGCACTTTTCCATAATTTAAGGAGCATTTTCTCATTGATTATATACTGGTGGTGAAGCATTAGTAACGCCATGCGTTCAATTCAAAATTTTGAAAATACGTTTCTTTCCCATGCTTTTGTATTCCAGACGAAGAACAATATACCATCTACAACTCAGTGAACGGAACCAATGCATCCGTCCTGCCAAACCTAGCCAACACTTCGGCATCATCGTTAGCGTCAGCATCAGCAGTAGTACCAAATACTAGCATAACCAACAATGTGCCTTTATCACAATCGGCTCAACAGATTAGCAGCAGTGCTGCGCTCAGCAACAACAGTAGTAGCAACAACAACAACAACAACAACAACATCAATAACAACAACAACAGCAACAACAACAACAACAACAGCAGCAACAATAACAACAACATCAATAATAGCATCAATAGTAGTAGTAGTGGCGGTCCGCTGAGTTTATCGGCCATCCTATCCGGATCGCTCGGACCATCGCAACCCAGTGGGCCCGGGAGTGGTGGTAACAATTCGGTTATCGGTGCAAATATGATAAGCGGTGGTACCGCCGGTCAAGCCTTGGCCAGCATACTGACCGGCAGTAGCGGCACCAGTATAGGTGGTGGTTCCGGAATGGTTGCCGGAGGTGCACTGTCACATTCACAGTCGGCGCATCAGATAGGGGTGAACCCGATGTCCCAGCATCAGGCCCTTCAGCAGCAGCTGCAGCAGCACTTTGCCAACGTTGCCAACAGCGGTAGCAGTAGTTTAGGTGAGTCACATTTTCTTTGTTTCATATGATTCTCTAGTAAATGAGTTTTTCTTTGCCTTTACACACGGTGAGGGCCGACGAACAGTAGAGAAAATGTGGGAAAAATTAATTTTAAACCACGCTGGACATTGCTTCCGGCGGTAGAAGCTAGAGCTGTCAGCCTGTAAGCTTTTGTTCGGAAATGTACTGGATGTCGCGGACAGCGGAAATAATTAACATTCGAGTATTAGCCTTGGGGCCATAGTTGTCGACAACTGAGTTAGTGATTCTTTTGTTATGCGTCTTATTATCCTTCCTAATGGGTCACCGAGTTCATTGATCTAATCTCTTGAAAGCCGCCCAACCTCATTCCTAATTTGATTAAAATGATGCGTGTGACCTAACACGCTTACTGGCTGGCTTTTCTGGCCGTTCTTATTCCCCAATATTCATGTTTTCTCTTCGTATCGCTTCTGAGCGCGAAGTGCATTCCTTGGTACAGAGAAAATTCCAAATACTTGCATGCATTCTCACATTGCCCGTGGAAACAAGTAACCAACACATTCTCTCGAAGGGGGCGTACTACACCACCCAACTAAGGCTTTTTAAGAAAATGACAAAGCGGGTTGTTGCTGTGCTGTTTTGCCAACAACAGCAATACCTTTTGCGGACGGGGGGCAACGGAAAGCTGCCGTCCGATGTGCTGCTAGGAGGGAAACAAAATATTTTCCTTTCGTTTTCTGTGTCGTTCTCTGGGTGGGTGAAGGTATGGTAGGTATGGTGGAAAATGCCAAAGCCCAAGAAAGAGCGCGCGCTTCCCGGCTGGCGCATGTGTCGGCCAGCAGCAGCACCGTTCTAAGTGGTGGTGAGTGTTTCTTCTGCCATAATAATTTGGATGATGAGGGGGTTTGTTTTTCCGAGCGGAGTCATCTCCTGGTATGAGCAGTGATGGAAGTTCCCGGATTGGGATATTTTATTTTGAAATTCCTGGATGCTGTCATGAATTTTATACAGTACGGGTCCGATTTTAGCAACACACATTTTTTGACTTATATGCTTTCCACAAATTTTAATGATAATAAAACGCAGTGTCAACATTTTAAAGGAGCGTAATGGCTTTTGTAAATTTTGATTTAGCCGTCGATTTCTCGCTAATAAAAGCTTACGCATGAAAATTAATAAAACCAACAGGTAGAGGAATGCTGCCTCTACGAGCTAGCCATGTTAATTTGGAGGGGTGATCTTTAATTCGCTTAACATCGACGGTTAAACCATGGTTTACTAATGCAGTTACGCCCCTTTGAAATGTTGACACTGAACTAGTTAAATCGTTAAAATAAAACAGAATACAATGCTCATAAGTTGTACTGTTAAATTATCCAATACAAATAAAATAAAGGTAATCGACCAAACAATTTATGGAAAATTGAACTTCTACAAAAAAAAATCCAATAGGTTGTCTTTACTATATAAAAAAAACTGTTTTTCCTCGATCAAATCCTAGGCTATAACCATAAAATATATTGTTCTTCTATTGTACGATTTTTGTACTGGAGAAATATTTCAGGTATATATTTCATACCAACGACGAGATCGACTCAAATAGTGGTTTTTCACTCAAAATCGCAGAAACGTAGGTTGCTCATAGACTGAGTAAAATTTTCCTCGCTGTTCCTCAAAAATCAGTCTAGGAGTATACTCTGAGAGAATAGACTGAGTGAATCCTTTCTCTCGATTTGCCTCATATTCAACAAGTTTTTGCTGCAGGGCTAATGTGATGAAACCAAATTTAAGTTCAGTTTACTCATAATCGCTAAAAGTGGAGAAATTCAGCGATGAGTAAATTTGCCTCATGTTTTCCTGTGGAAAACCTAAAAAATCTGCCGGAAAATGAGGAAAATTGACAAACATTTGACTCAGTCTAGCAGTAGTACCGATAGACTGAGTGAATCCAATCTTTACTTTTCTCATATTAGGGATTTTTTTTCCTGGGCAGACCTGGAAATTTACTCATCGCTGAGTTCCTGTACTTTTTGTGATTTATGAGATTGAGGAAAATTTTACTCAGCCTATGAGTAACCTACGTTTTTGCGAATTTGAGTGAACGAAACTAAAATTTGAGTTGGTTTAATCCAGGCCAGTGACAAGACCTATACTAACAGCAGCGTTTGACAGTAGGCAGCATGTCCCGGGCTCAAATTGTTTATTTTGCTGTGCTGTGCCCGCTGTCACAGTATAACATGTTGCCTACGCGCCTGTTACTGGGCTGGTTTAATCGCCCATAAGTCATCTGCCTCTGCAAGCACACGGACGATGAGATCGACTCAAAATTGAGTTGAATTCGACTCAATTTTGCAAACTGTTGAACTACTCAATGGTGTAGGCAGGCTTAGAAATAGGATGGGGGGGGGGTCAATTTTTATGATGGACGATTAGTTCAGAACGTCATTAGGCCGAACGTGATAAGCTCGAGGATACTAGGTCAAATAAGTCATTTTACCGAAATTGAAACTTCTGTCAAACTGCGTAAGTATTTTTCAAATTTGCGCCGGCAAATATCGATAAGAATGTTTGCTTTTTTTCCGGAATTATTAAAATTTTCCCGGTTGAGCGATATACATTTAAATTGTTCACTAAACGAAATGCGATTGAGCCGAAAGGATCGGTAGGTAAGATGAGTTATTAAAAACTCGTATATTTCTTCAGAGCGAATTTCTTTAGAATTTCTCATGAATTATCTTCAAAACCATTACCCTCCACAAAGGTATTTTCAAAATAATCGCTCTGAGACCTTGAAATTTTCTGTATAACAGTTCGAAAATTCTATGCAGGATATTCCTAGCGCATGAAATTCAAATAAGGATAACATCTTATTTTAAATTATACTTTCGAAAATTCACGAATTTATTATAGAATTGTGAAAGAAAGTAATTTTATAATAAATTCGATTGAATTCTCCATAGAAATTTCATGTAATGCACATTAGAGAAGTTTTGAAATTCTGTTCTTCTATTCTTCTCGAAATACCTTTGGAATATATTTCCTCAATATTCTTCTCAGGGTTCTCTTGCAACTCTCTTTAGAATTCATTTGAAAATATTTTTAGAAGTATCATGTAATTTATCCTAGACATATTTTGAAACTATCCTCGAATTAAATATTGTTGGAATTTTTTTTTAATTATCGTCAGATATCTTCAGACATTCTTCTCAGAACTATTTTTTGTTTTTTAATTAATTATCCCATAATCGAATTTTACTCAGAACAGCTAACAAATTCAACCTATGAAATCGCCAAAAAATGTATCTGGATTTTGCCTCGCAATTGCCTTGCAACTCTTTCATCTAATTGACTTGGAGTTCTAATCAATACACTCTCTTATAGTTCATTTCAAAACAACCTAGAAATTTATCTCTGAAATACTTTGGAGTAATTTTTAGATTTTGTAAATATCTCTTCAAAATTCCTTTGGAGGTTTCTTCGATTTTTTAAAAGTCCTTCAAAGTGACTGCATCGGGAAAATTGAGTCTAGTCGAAGGGTCTTGAAATGTTGTCAAGGTGAAGAACTTTTTTGGAATTAATTATCGAAATTCATTGACTTTTTCTGGTTTCTCCCGAATTTACCATCTTGTTGTTATTCATCTTAGAAAGTCTTGAAATTCTGTTCAAACCTGTTCAAATCCTTCTCGAAATACCATTAGAATATATTTTCTTGGAACTCTCTTCAGAGTTAATTCGAAATTATTTTTAGAATTTTTATGGAAGTTGACCTAGACTTATTTTGTAACTATTCTCGGAACTAAATATCGTTGAAATTTTCTTGAAATCTTCATCAGATATCTCCATAAATTCTTCACAGAACTTTTTTGGCATTTTCATTAGAAATGAACCAGGAATCCTTTATATAATCGTCGTCTTCTCATAATCGAATTTCCGTCAGAACTTTTTGACAACTCTGAACTCGCCTTCAAATTTACCTGGAGCTTTTCTGGAACTCTCTCGTCCAATTGATTTGGAGTTCTTATCAATTCTCTTTCAAAAAGCATATCTATTTATTTCTGAAATACTTTGGTGTTATTTTTAGATTTTGTTTAATCCCTTCAAAATTGCTTGGGAGCTTTCTTAGTTTTTTTTTAAAAGTCCTTCAAAGTGACTGTATTCTAAGGGTCTTGAAATTTTGTCAAGTTAAAGAACCTTTTTTCGGTAGAGATGGTTAATTAGTTATCGAAATTTACGGGCTTTTCCTGATTTTTCCCGAATTTACCATCTTGTTGGATCACTCAAATATATGAAGTGATTTGGTCCTCAACGCCAGTATATTTATAAAAAAATCAGGTCATGTCGTGTTTCGTTTAGGGTTTCCAAATTTTCTGGGAATCAACCTCCCGGGAATTGGGAATTAAAAAAACAAAATTTTCCGGGATTTTTTCTGGATTCGAAGATTGAGAGTTGAGCATTTAACAAAACAAATGTAAATTACAGGGTGGCCTATCATAGCTTCCTCGGTTTCATATAAAAAAGCTATATATGGAAAATGGAATACTCACATGAATGAATTTCCAGATTTTTTTTTTATTAGGCTTCAAGATAGTATCGAATTGCCAAATCATGTTCCATAATTTAGTTTGCAGAAGTTTTTAAGAGTCTCAGAATTTTGAAATTTCTCTTGGTTAAACCTATTTTTTCGAAAGTCACTAGGCCAAATGGTCCTGTTCTGACTAGATTTGATCCTCAGACCGTATGTTATAAAGTGATATATTGAACTTGGAAATGTATTTTAAAAACAATCAGATCCACGAATTAATGGTGGGATTTTGGACTGAGAAATTTTATGAGGTGTAAATTTTTGTACATGAGTAAATTTTTGAGATTTTCAGACTAGACCAGATTTTAACATTCCTGAAAAATCTCAGATTAAAAAAAAAATCATGGTTTCGACAACTTTTTTTGGATTCTGACACTTTGAAAAATTGTGAACAGAATTAAAGAAAAAATCCAAATGAGTTGTGAAGACAATTGTA